AAGAAAAAAGATTTTGATAGGGATGTGCAAAACAAGATGGTCAGAAAGAGATGCCGCTTATGAACACTTTTATTTAGCTATACCATTTATGGCAGAGGCATAGATGGTATAGCTAAAGGCATTAGAGATTATTTTAGGAATACAATCTAATATAGAACAGTTCAATATAGATATTAATATGGATTGGGACGCACAAGGAAAAATAGAGGCCAGTTCACTTCTTAATGCACTCACTAAGTTCGAATTCATAATTGGCACTATAACTTTGTACCGCTTACTTCACCCGTTGTCGTATATAACAGAGAGGTTACAAGGGCGCACAACTGATAATGTGTATGCATACAGTAACATTCAAGAAACAATCGATAATTTGAACCATCTACGGAAAAATGTTGAAAAAGAAATTTACGCAATTTACCAACAAGCTACTCAAATGGCAACTAAAATATTTGTAGAAACAACGATTCCCAGAATCGCTATGAGACAGGCCTACCGAAATAACGTACCTGCAGAGATTCCCCATTAATAAACGGGCCTTGATTGTACCTTTTCTCGACACTATCATTTCAGAAATTAAAGTAAGATTCCAAAAAATAAATTGCATTTCTGCTAAGGTTTTTTGCTTGCTTCCCTCAATAATTCGCAGTGAGGAGATAATTGCTTTCCAGGAGTTTGTTGAAATGTATAAAAGTGATCTTCCAAACTCAGAAGCTGTAGATCAAAAATTCTTGTTTCGGAAAAGAAAATGGTCTGTTATTAAACCTGAAGATAGTCCTAATAATATAAAGCCATTAAAATCTGCGATGAAAATCAATATCTTAATCTCTTTAAGCTTCTAAAGATCAGATGTACACTACCCCCGTAACGTCCGTAGAATGTGAACGCAGCTTTTCAGCAATGTAAGATTAAGAACATGGTTGAGAGCCAGTATGACTGCAGAAAGACTTGGTTCATTATCATGAATATCCACTACAATGAAGTTGTTGATTATAAACAAGTCTCAAAACTATTTTTTACTTTACATCCTAGAAAATCGTATATAAAAAGTTTAGTCTTTAGATAAAAATTTAAACCATTTATCAATCTATGTATCGATACCCATTTTCTAACAAGGAGCTTGCTCATACTCATATGCAGTATAGAAATAGAAAAAATATTCGTTAAACAATGAATTTGTTTATGTAAACATTGTTTACTCAAATATAGCTATGTTTCACGAAAATTTTATTAAGTAAATTTAGTAAGATAATGCAGTACCGGATCAAGGTTTGCTTGGGGGGACTATAGCCCGGGGCCAAACTTTTTAGAGGACCTTTTTTTTTTTTTTAAGTCGTTTTTAGGCTCTGGCCCATAAAAAGGCCTCCAAAAACAAAAATAGCCCCGGGCCCCAAGAAGTCTTTATCTATCCGCCACTGAGATAATGGTTTGGTGTTTTGAAACTGCCTTTTTTTATTCAAAAACGACCCCCCTTAAAAAATTTGACTGTACGGCCCTGATATACATATATATATATATATATATATATATATATATATATATATATATATATATATATATATATATATATATATATATATATATATATATATATATATATATATATATATATATATTATATATATATATATATATATATATATATATATATATATATATATATATATATACATATTATATTTATATATATATATATATATACAATTATATATATATATATATATATATATATATATATATATATATATATATATATATATATATATATATATATATATATATATATATATATATATATATATATATATATAATTATATATATATATATATATATATATATATATATATATATATATATATATATATATATATATATATATATATATATACATATTATATTTATATATATATATATATATACAATTATATATATATATATATATATATATATATATATATATATATATATATATATATATATATATATATATATATATATATATATACATATATATATATATATATATATATATATATATATATATATATATATATATATATATATATATATATATATATATATATATATATATATATATATAATTGATTTTTTAAGGAGATTAAATAAAAAATGACTACATAATTTTTACTACTAAAAGTTTTATGCGTTTAGCAATCATCAGCTAAAAATACATTGTTTTTCGTTAAAAAATATACTATATAATAACAATGTGACGTTCAAAAACAATTATAAAATGTTACTATTTGCAAGCGTGGTTTGGTTTTTCAATCTTTGGGCTTGTAGTTGTCACGCAAAAACTTGTTTTCATGACGGTACTTAGATATTATTTCTATTTTTTTATTTAATAATTCTTGCCTACCTTTGTACGATATTATGCAAAGTTTTTCATGAAGACAAAGCAAGCATTTTTTTGTTACGCTGCTGTAGGTGGGGATTTGTTTATTTATTGACCAGGTTAACTTAGGTGTTATTTTAAAGTTTTTTTTTATCTGCCATATATACTTTGAAAGAGTGGTTGAATTTTTTATCTTTTTGTTTGTGAATGAGTGTTTGTGGTTAGCCCATCTTTTCTTTTATTCACCTTCTGCTAGGCCAATATATACTTTTTCTGGAGTGTTAGGATACTATACATTTATAAATAACGTTTGAGGCTCTATATTTTCCTATTATAGGGCATTTTTATTTATTTATGCAATTGCAGGGTGTGTACACTTTTAGTCTTTTTGAACTGATTTTCTTGTTTTGGCTTTTTATACTTGCTACATCTCATATTGACTTGAATGTGCAGAAATGGCGAACTGTCCTGTTCAGTGATGAATCGAAGTTCAACATCATTGGGAGCGATGGCATTTGCCATGTACGTCGACCGGCCAGAAAACGCCTCAATTTACGTTACTGTTGACTTTGAAGCATGGTGGAGGCAATGTAATGGTCTGGAACGTTTTTCTGCTAACGGTCTAGGTCCAATACATCGAATCAATGGAATAATGGACCGTTTCATGTATAAAAATATCCTGAAATATGTTATGTTACCTCATGCTGAATGGAATATACCAAAAAAATAGGTTTTTCAGCAAGACAACGATCCAAAACACACTGCAAAAGTAGTCAAGCAGTGGTTTCAAGACAACCACCTATCGGTGATGGATTGGCCGCCTCAATCTCCGGATCTCAACCCTATCGAGAACCTGTGGGAGATCGTCAACCGCAGAATTAATTGTGAAGATGTTTGTAATAAGGATCAACTGTTAGAACAAATCCAAAAGGCCTGGGCAGCGATTCCGCAAAGTTTCATTGATCACCTGATCGAATCTATGCCTCGAAAATGCAAGGCTGTGATCGACAACAAAGGATTTGCCACGAAACATTGATAGCGAAATACAGCTTGGTCAACATTTTGTGGAGTTGCACTTGTTTTGTCCAGAAGGAAATAAACATATCGTATTTATAAACATATTGTATTTATAAGCAGAAGGAAATAAACATATCGTATTTATAAACATATCGTATAACAAGAAATGACTTTTAAAGATTATATATATATATATATATATATATATATATATATATATATATATATATATATATATATATATATATATATATATATATATATATATATATATATATATATATATATATATATATATATATATATATATATATATATATGTATATATATATATATATATATATATATATATGTTTTATTTTATGATACCGCTTGAATGTGACTGTCCTATTAATGTTGGTCCAAAGAGATTGGACTCCAAAAGATCAATTATTCTCCACATATGTTCAATTGAGTTTGAATTCAATTAATTTATTTTGATACTATTTGTTCTTAGGATTTGGAACGAATTTATTGCAGAAAGCTTGACCAGTCTTATGGTGACTGACGTTCCAATTGGGCTGGTATAAAATATCAATAGCATTCAACTCGTCGTTTCTTCAAAGTAATGCAGTCATTGTTAAACTTCGTTGTTTCTTTAAAAAACTTAATGCAGTCATTGTTAAACTTGTTTTCGCTAGATCTAGATTATATTCAATGCACGTGATTGAAGTTTACTGTGAGTCCTACAGCTTCGAAGAATTTCATGACAACGTCATAATTATTGATCGTCGTGCGCCAGGCAAGAGCGATGACCATAACAATTGACTTTTTTTCTTTTCGAGATTCGCTGTCAGCTGAGACAATTCAGATAAGTTGATTGCATTGTTATGCCATTTTGAAAATTTTACCATAAAGAATTATTCAAATTACTGAAGACAATGGTGAAACGGCCGTTTCCTTGTTTAAATTGAGAGTTCTTGCTTCGTCTTCTACCCATTTGATTGTTTCGACCAGTTAGGTTTAAATATATATTTTTGTAATATATTTGTTTCTTATTTTTTGCAGTCATTACCCCTACAAAATTTAAAAAAAGGTTTCATAAAAATTAAGAAAGATACCAGCTAATAAGTTAATTCTTAATTAAGTTTCTTATGCTGGTAGAGTGATTAAAGTTTTGTTTAAGTTGTTTTTTGTAAACGCTTTAAAATTTTATATAGTGGAAAAAAAAAAGAAGATTTAAGGATATAAAATATTTCATAAGTAAACATAGAATTATATGGTTATAGTATTGTCTTTTTTGCACACTAAATTAATATACATTTCTACAGGTCTCAGCAAGAAGTAGCGCAATCATTGAGCACTGTTTGAGAACAAATGAAACTTTAAAACAATTAAAAAGATATATTAAAGTTGTTTAAACTAACTCTTTATTGTTTTTCTAAAAAAGTTTAACAGAAAGATGCTCTTTACTTGTTTTAAAACTTATTTAATTAAACTGTTATTTAAAGTTTAACAAACCAATATTTAAAGTGATTAGTTTTAAGATTCTAAAATACTTCAATAAAGAAACTGAGAGTGTTTATGAGCGTTTTTTTCACCTCGTACTCAAAATGTGTTTTTATGAGCTCACTTGCCGTAAATTAAAAACTTCTTTATTCTCGAACTGCACTATTTAACAAAACATTAGCTGCTTAGCCCAGTTAAATGCTTTAATTTTGTTTTGTGTTTAAAGATACGTTAAGAAAACTCATTTAAGTTAGAAGTGTATTCTTGGTTAAAATTTGTTAAAGAGTATTCAGCTCGAAACTGCGTGGATTTCCATAATTTCCAGGTTAGTTTGCAAAATAAAAACGGATTATAAATGAACTTAATGAGGTAAATTACGAAGCCTGCAAAATACTATTATTATATGAACTAACTGAAAACGCTGATAAGTTCTCTTTTTCTAATTCTGTATAACTCTTTAATTATTTTATTTTTCTCACTTTAAAGATGCAAAGTGAAAAAATACACTTATATTATATACTTATAGTGAGAGGGGAGTTTCTTTATTGATATCTGCCAATATGCTTGAAACTTTAATTATTCAATTCAACATATATATTATATTACAGATTTATTACCATATTATATTTTAAACATTAACTATTATATTTTAAACATAAACAAGCGTTTTCAAAGCATCGTTGTTTTTGTTTTTATTATTAACAAATTAGTTCACAAAACTCAGTTATTTTATTTTAATACTATGAAATATATAAAACAAAACGCTTAATGGAGGTGAATATTACTTCGTATGAAAATTTCTCCTGTTACACCCAAAGGTTTACTCTAGATTATAAAATCTGGATTTAAAAATTTTTTGAATAAAAAATATTTTAAGGGACCCCTTAAAATATTTTTTATGATCCTTTTAAAATCATAAAAAATCATTTAAAATATTTTTTATGATTTTAAATGATTTTTTAACTGATCCTCGAATATTTAAACCTTGATTATTATCAATATATCTGAGATCTATTAAATTACGAGTTTTAAAGAAGTGATAAAAAAAAAAGGTTAGAGGTACATTTTCAAATCCTCAATATTTTCACAATAATGTCTAACAAATATGACAGGCGAAATAGTTATGTAACTTAGTCACCAAAATTTATAGCATTTTGATTATTTATTTTTGTTTAAAAAATAGTTTAAAACTCAAATTAGTTTGAGAAATTTAAAATTTCATCTAAAAATCTTTTATTTAAAATAGTTTATAAGAACTAATTTCCCCTATTTATCACCTATCGTAACTTTCAAACGCTTACCATTGTCTGTAAAACTCATCGGTTAAAAACTCATTGGTTAAAAACTCATCGGTTAAAAACTTATTAGTTAAAACAAAAACAGATATTTTAAAATATCTATACTTTTAAAAAATAATATAAGGGGCTGTTTATGAATCGGGCTAGTCCGGTTAACACGTTCGCTGCCAACTATGAGTATACTCGTAGTAAAAAAATGCTATATTTTGTCCAACTACGAGTAAAAAACGCTAACTTTTGAAAAAAAAACGCTATTTTTTGGCCAACTACAAATATACTCATAGAATGCGTGCGTAAAAAATTGGCCGACTACGAGTATACTTGTAGTTCAACTAACATATTAAAAATTTAATTTTAACAATGTTTAGCTATGTTAATTCATATAATATCTTTTTTTTAACTTTAGAATAGATTTCAGAAATAACTAAGTTATAGACTTGTACTTCGTAAACCCCCCGTGTTTTATATAAATCAGAATAAAGATATAACAAACTTAAAATATATTTAAAGGTATTTTAGAAACCTTTTATTTTACATGGTATATTTTAGAACATTCGCCAACACATAACGGAGGCTTTTTTTCACATACAACGCATTAAAGCGTTTTTCCTTACGTTTTATTTTAGAACGAACACAACAAAGTTTTGTGGGCAATTTCTTCAATTCATTTGGTATTATAGCAGCTAAATAATTAAGTTTGTTGTTGTTGACTCGAGGAATCAATGTTTCTTCGTTCAAGTGCTCACGCAATAAATTGGTAACAAATATTTCCCGAAATTTAAGCAAGGAGATTGCTTTATCTGTTCCATACTTGCAGTTAAGACAGTAGGCATTAAATAAAAATATATCGAAAATATGAATAGCTACTTTTTTATACCATCTAGTGGTTTTTCTTAGACAGTCATAATAAGATACCATTTGATCAGCTCGATCAACTCCTGACTTGCCTTTATTATAATCTTGAATTATACTGAGTTTAAGTTTCTTTACACCTCTTCTGCTTGTCACTTTAACCATCTCTAATGAATGCATGTTGCTAATCATATTGTTGCATATCTTCTGCGTTTATTGGCTTCCGATCTTTATATCTAGAACTTCTTCCAAGAGGACGCACTTTATTGACTTCTTGGGTTGCATAGCGATTTGTTTCTACAACCATTGTATTAAGAAGCTCATCCGTAACTAATAGCTTTAAAAAATCCATCGGATTCTTACTCTCTATAAGGAGCTTTAAACCAGGTTTGCCATTAAATTGAAAACTTTGTACAACGTTTGGCTCGTCTTGATGAACATTGTTTCGAGTTGTTGTATAACGAATCCTTCCCCTTGTTCTTGCTCTTTTTCGTGGTTGTGCAGACTCTTCTGCACTGGCTGCTAAATAAATGTCTTACCGATGCATATCACTTTTGCCAGCTTCGCTGACTTCAGATTCAGACTCTGATTCAGTTTAGATGGAAGACGAAGAAGAACTTGAAAAAAGTGAACCCGAATCTCCGTTATCAGGGTCATCATTTTCGCTATCACAACGCTCCTCCATAATTTTATTTGCTGCTTCAATTGCAGAATATCTTTGATGAACTAAAAGGAAATATATGTGTATATTTATTATTTTTTATATTTTTTATATATTTATATACAAAAAAAATTAAGTATATATGTGTATATTTATTATTTGCAAAAATAAATAAAACAACCAAGATGATAAATACAATTTAAAAAAATAATAAAAATAGTCAACAAATATTGATAAAATACTTTCTCTATTCATGATTATCAGTAATTACATGCAGAAAAATCAAATTATAAATTTAAATGCATCAAATACGTTGCATTGCTCTGCACTGCAATGATTGCTGTTACAAAATGCTTACGAGTATACTCGTACTTGGGTGCTGGCGAAAAAAATATCTTCTTCATTGCAAAAGTAAGAGTATAATCGTTGTAAATTTTTTCTCCTTTATATTCAGAATAAAAAGTGCTTTTAAGTTATGTTTGATAGAAAAAATGTTATTTATTGAAATGTTGATATCTAGCCTCGGCATTGAGAATAAAACCACGCAAAATAGCCTCGGCAGAAATTTAATATCGCATAATTTATGGCTTAGCAGTGTAATAACGCCTTCCTAAAACAGGTTTGGCAGCAAACGTGTTAACCAGGCTGACAAAAAAAAATTTACATCGAAATTCAAATTTAAATTATCCTTTTTTTTTATTATGTAATTGTTTGCTTTAAACAACAATTGGGATTTTTTTTAAATAATAAATAAATAAATAGAAATAGCGTGATTTATTTTATACAACCAATTACATTCAGGAGCAGGCCTGGTTCACTTGTTCATGTTTGTATGGTAAAAAATTGTCTGACCTTAGGGGCTTAGTTTATATAAATTGGGCTGTTTATATGAATTGGACTGGCACATTTAACCAGGCTGACTAAAAAAAGTAAAAACATCAAAATATCAGAATAGTAAAAATAGTAAAACCTTTAGTCTATATATTGGGATCTTAATTTAAATTTGAATTGTGTTTCATATAAACTACCAAAAAGAATAATATAAAATAAAAGATAAAAATAAGAAAATTTAGGTATAACAATTTTTGCTTTTGTTAGCGCATTTTAAATATATAATAAGGGGTTTAAAAGGTTTACATAATAAAATAATAACACATAATTTGCAAAATACATAGACGTAAACTGCATAACTTTTTTTTTTAGTGTATTTATATGGAAAATGTTTCTTAACTTATATTTTAAAGAAAATTAATTGCTTTGACGTTTTTGCTGTTTAATTTTAAGCTGAATTATATGGCGTCTACTTTTTGCAAGAATTATATAACATCTACTTTTTGCAAGCGCATCAATCCTGCGCGCATTGACACATGCGAATTTTTATCGAACAGGTAAAGGGACCTCAGAATACAAGACGTTGTCAAGTTGAATAATAGGTAGTATTTTGGCGCGTAGCCAGACTTTTTTAGGAGGGTTGCAAATTTTTACTGCGGCCCACTGTTTTTTTTTTTTACTGCGGCCCACTGTTTTTTTTTTTTACTGCGGCCCACTGTTTTTTTTTTTAACAAAATTTAAATGTTATTATTATTAAAATATTATAATTGAAAACAAAAGCTGCCGCAATTTTTAATATAATGTAAGTGATGAAAAATAAATAAACAACAAACATTTGGTCTCAATGATGAGTAATTAATTACGACAATTGTTAATCATCTAAAAGAAAGGAGAAAAATTCTAATCTTCTCAGATGAAATTTTGCAAACATTTTAACGGTTAAATCTAAAACAAAGTTATAATCATAGTGAATGTGCATTTAAGCCAACTCAGAAAGTTGTTCCTGCCTTTAAGTTACTCTTGTTTACAAGTGAAGACGTCGAATTATGCTTTCCATTACTTCACATTCTGCGGTAGTGACTGGAAGAACACATCTAAGGGAAAAAAAAATGTAAATATTTGGAAACATATCTGGCTTACATTCTTTAAGAGCACTGCAGCACTTGAGGGTCAATTATCTGGTTGACATCCAAGCTACATTTTTGCTACATAATTATTTCTTCATCAAAGAAATTAGAGTTAGGAAAACATTTTCCTAATGTATCGTAGCTTTTTGAATCATTTCAGATACACTGATATTTTTAAGCAAATAATAGAAGATACAAAACTTAACAATAACTCAGTTGTATCTGACGATTTGCATATTTACATAAAACATATTTGCGCTTACTCTCATCATTTCTATTTCTGAGAAGACAGTTTTAAAACACTTAAAGGCATATATGACGTCACTAGATTACTCCTGCAACTTAACTATAGGCTCACGAAGAAACCCCATATTTCACTGTAGTGTAACTAGTGATATAATAAAATCAAAACTTCCCAAATGCTTTCAGAATAGACAGTGCTTGACGTTTGTCTTCATCAGTCCACCCATGTAGCAATTCGGCATATTCATTATTGCCACATTTATTCTTAGAAATGGCGTCGCAAAATTTTGTTAAAATATGGATGAGCTAAACAAAATTTTTCCCAACCATCTAAATTTTTAATCTATCTTGTAACACAAATATCAGCAAGAGTCTTTGGTCTATTCAATGTGCGAAATTGGTTTTTATTTTGCTACACCAAATTAAGAGTTTTGTTAGCGTTGCGCTACTTTTTATTATATTTTATATTATTTTATTATAAGTAATATTATATTTAATACAGGCCTTGTTATGAGATTTTGAAGCGTAACGGAACAGCGCAACCTGAATTAATGTAACTTCATTAAAAAAAAGATATTTACAACGTTAAAAGTTGAATTGCGTCAGTTGCGTATTTTAACCTTATTGTAATTCATTAAAAATGATTGTAAGTCTTTTAAATAAAATATCTTTAAATTACAGGGGCGGATACAGGTTGTAAAGATAGGGGGGGCACAAATGGGGTGGGATTTAAGGGGAGGGGGTATCCCCCTCCCCTTCTGGGGTCTATAATCAGCCGCCAATGATTTTTAATGAAATGACAACCCAAAATGGACAGTTTCCAGTACTCTATATCTGATATCTGACCTGAGAATGGATCGACATAATTATAAATAAAAAATTAATCAAATTTTTTTTTTTGGGGGGGGGGACACGAGCCGGCTGTGCCCCCCTCTAAATCCGCGCCTGAATTAAACAATATTGTTAAAAAAAAAAAAAATGTTTTAAATTAAATTTAAATGCTGATTAAAAAATAATTTCCTTGTTTTAAAATCTTATACTTATTTACAGTTTAAATTTTAAACTTAATTTTTTTTTTTAAAAACATTCTTTTTACGTTTACTTTTTTTAAATCAGTGGACACTTGTTTATGGTTGATTTTCTTAAAGGGATTAAAGTGTACTTCTAAATAGTTAGATTGGGTTTTTCCCTTTTTAATTAAATTAAAAATTGTAATTAAACGAAGTTTACCGCTTTTCGGCTTTGTTTTTTTTTATTTCCATTAAAATATTTTAAATTATCGTGAAACCTAAAGTATTTTTACTATTTCTTACTAAATCCAAAAAGAAAAATAATATTTTCGGTTACAAGAACTTGTTTTGAACAATTATCAAAAACTTTTTAAAAAAAAAAAACTAATACTTGTGCTATAGATATAAAATACGTAAATTTTAAAATTATATTGATAATTGTTATTGCGTATATTATATCTATATCACAAGTAGGCATCTGCGTAAGGAGGAAAAATTCTGACTACCGTGTTACCGTATATTCTCGCAAAATATTTACGACCTCTTGCGGTTTTCTGCAAATTTTTCTTTTAATTTTACGACCACTGCGGTTAATCGCGGCTTAGGTCGAGTTTAGTCGGTTTTAAACGGTTTCATTAAACTTTGTAAAACATACAAGATATATAAGCAAGTCTATTATAAATGTTATGAATTTACAAGTTTTTCCTGCAGAAAAAAAAAAAAGGAATGGACAAAAATTTTAGCACATTTATTTGCAGCTTGATAGTTTTTAGCATAAAAATTACTAATATCTATACTTTTCATGTTAAAAACTAGAGGCCTACGTAGAGAAAATTTGTTTTTCCATTTTTAACTTTAAAAAGTTCAACGCAATGACACTGCCTCATGAAAAATTTAAAATAGAAAATTTCATCGAAAATCTTGCTTCATTTTTTAATGGATTGACTTCTAATACCAATTCGAGGCGGGTTTCACGTTCGTCAGATGTTTCCAGCAGTTTGGCCACTCTTTTCACGGACGTCTCATCAAGTTTGGTCAGGCTCAAATTTGCTTGAAGTTAAACAAGCATTTACATATTTTCTGGGTCAAGTCTTGTCCGTAGGTCAGTAACGACATTACCAGCAGCCTAAAACATTTTTTTGTTTTCAAAATTTGGGAAAATAACTCTGCTTTCTTGAAAACGTTTCTTAGAAATGTTTAAAATTTAACCATTTAAACAGTCATACAAACTGCAGTTACTGCAGATTGTATGACTTCCTAATTAGTTTGCTGACAGTTTAAATGGTTAAATTTTTTTCATCGCATTACTGCAAATTGCAAATTAAAAACAAAATGATCTCGAGAATATTATTTAAGTTTTGTTTTTAAAACAAAATAAAAATAAGTTGGGTTTTCAAAGAGTTTATTTATTGATTGTGTTATTTTTAATCGGTTTAAAGTTAGGTTCGTTTTATAAAAAAAATTCTAGTGCATAAAACTTAACAAAAGGAAAACCCAAACAACATTGAAACTCGAGTTAACTCGATTTCTTTTAAACTAGTTTGAAAGAACTTTTTTGTATGACGTCATTTATTACATTATTTAGACCAAAATTGCAACTTAGGGACCGTCCATAAATTATGTCACGCATTTTTTGACAGATTTTGACCTCTCCCCTCCCCCTCGTCACAAAATCGTAGCAGGTTTTGTATGTCGTCACAAAACTACTAACCCCCCCTCCCCCTTATAGCGTGACGTAATTTATGGACGACCCCTTAACTGAAATTAAAATGAAGTTATATGTAATGCAAACATTTTAAAGTTACTTGAATTAAATTTATTATTATTTTTTTTACTTCAACATAAATTTTGGAAATTTTATCAGTAAAAAAAAATTGTTAAACAGAGCGTTTTTATATTTTTAAAAGAATTTTAATTAAATTTCATAAATTTTCAAATGAATTACTAAAACTATGAATAATAATAAAATTAATTCAAATTTAATAAAATGAATTATAAATATTAAAAAAAAAATGAAAATTAGAAAAAAGGATATCTATCTGTTTTTTTATCTAATAATAAAAAAATATTCCACAAACGTTTATTTACAACATTTACAGTCCTACCGGCACATCTAGTTTCTTTTTCGGAAATAAAACCTCTATATAGACACGTGTTTTTCACTATCCAGACGTAAACCAAAAGCACGTGTATATTACGGGCAGTTTTACGAGAGTTTAACACGTGTTTTTTGAGGTTTTGAAGTCAAGTTTAAATGTCGAATGTTTTTATCAGTGGTTTCACATTCCTTACGGAAAGTTATTACAATATAATACTACGATTTCATAACGGTGAAACCATTAATACTTTAACTGGTATTTATAGTAAAAAGTAATTGTTAATTTCACGGAATAAAAACCATTTTTAATACGTGTTATTCTTTTTGTTTTAAAAGGTTTTAAAAACGCAACAGAAACCAAGCGTAACTATTTTCTGAGTTGTGCCGGCTGGGAGTTTAATGTTTTCCGCTTAATCTGTTTTAAAAGACTGTTTAAAATAAACTTATTGAAAAAAGTTTTTGCATAACGTAAATTGCGAAACACGTACGTAAAATCGTGAATACGTAAGTAAAACTCAAATAGGGAAACGCTTCTTAACAAGGCCTGTTAACACATTTTTATTTCAGGTGTTTTGCAAGAGTGACTAATAACCAAATTTATTCTATGACACACGCAAAAGGTGTATATTGCTTTAAGTTGAATGCTCAGAAATTGGGCTTGTATACCTGATAACTAACCTCCCATTGATGCTGCACCATCGTATCCTTTGTCTCTCATATTTTCAATATTCAAAAAGAGGTCATGTAGAGTTTGGTTAATTTAGTAAAAATATCTTTGGCTCTCACATGCTCCAGCTTTACAAATGACACAAACTCCTCGCGTATCTCATGTTTCTTATCAACAAGTCTTAGCACAAGGGATAGCTGCTCTGTGTGGTGAAAATTAATTGCATCTGCAAAAGCAGAAAAAAATTTGACTTCTTTTATTTCTTTTATTATTGAAGCTTGTACCATACTTTTTCCTGAAACCGAGTTCTCATTTTCAACCTTTGCAGAAATATAACAAGCATTTTTCATTTTTGGACTTATCAAATGCTTTCAACTCTAAAAGAAATATTTTTAAGTTTGAATAGTATAAACTCTATTTTTGTGAATCTAATTTTTCTTTAACCTTATTCCAATTATTAAAGGGTTTTTTTAACAAAAGACCCCATTTTTTTCTTTTAAAAATAAAGCCAAGACAAACCTTGCTGTACTACAGAACAGCATCCCTAATTAGCATTCGCCCATCCATTTGATAGAAAATTTTTTGGAAAGTCTGTTGGTATAATATGTTTTGTGATGTATTGAATTTTGATTTCTAGCGACATGTCTATTTATTTTGCTCAATAGTGCTTATATTCATAGTTGGCGTAATGACATTTCCGATGTCACAAAAATTAGCGTTCTGAACACCTGACATCATTTTGGAGTATTCTTCAACTGTTTGAATGTCGTTTTTTTGATGATTATGGTCGCAATAAATGATGTAATTTTTTATTGCGACCATAATCAAATTTTTTTACTCGTAAAGTTCGTGAAAACTGTGTGAATTTTCCAAGGATAAGTCAGAGGAAATATCGTTTTTGAAAGAATTTGATATATTGTCATGAAAAATTACTTGTGACTGTTCTTTTTATAAAAATAAGATGTCAATTTTACACATTCTTTTGCAGAAGATTTCAACTTTTTTAGTTTTTTAAACATTCTTTATTAGTCTCACCTATTCTTTTTTGATTCATACTAAACTAAATAACTTATAGAAATAAAAAAATACTTTATAAGTAAATATTAATGCTAAAAAATACTTTAAAAACAAAACGCTTGAAAAAAGTACTTAATTTTTATGCATATTCACTTTTTTTTTTAATTCAGTTTTATTGGTTAACGTTAAAAAGAAACAACTTAAAAGCTTTCATGGATTAATGTTGCTATGCATTAAAATTTAGTTACCGTTTTTGCTAAATATTGTGTTTTTATTGTTGACAGAACTGAAAATTTTAAAAAAGCTTATAGCAACACTACTTTTTTGAAAAAAAAGTAAAACCATAAATTTAGTAAAGTTTTGAAACCGGTCCATTTTTTTAAAAGGAAGGTGACAGCCACCCTAATTACCCCCTTAGTTACGGGCCTGGTATTGCTGCCGGTTTTGCTTAGATAACCATGAATTTTTGGATAAGGTTTTTATTTTCCATGCTGAGTATACTTGAATAATGTTTAGTTTAAAACATATTTTTTTAAATTTTTTTTATAATTTATTTAATGGACAATTTACAACATTTAATAACTTATTTTATACAAAACAGTACATATTTAGAACATTATCTTTATTTTTACAATTAACTTTAACCTGAGTACATGAGTCAGGAAAACGCGACTTTCCAAAAATAAAAAAACGTGATTAAAAAAAAAATTAATTAATATATTAAAGGTTAATATATATTAGTTAATGTTTAATATATAAAGGTTAATATATAAAGGCTCGCAATAATAAATAGTATGCTATAATTAACAACGAAGTGCCTTTATCCAGCGCTATTTATTATACATAAATGAAACAGGGCCCATGGAGCCAGGGCTGTCCCGAAGAGATTTTTAAGGGGTGGGGGGTGCCATGTCTTTTTATTGCTGACTAGAGCCAAAAAAAAAATTTTTTGCCCACTAACTTATCTAAAAAAAAAAAAAAAAAAAAAAAAGTCCTCATTTTCCGACACTTGCCGACTGTCGATGATAATTACCATTTTGCCAACTCTAGTGTCTGATTTGCCAACAAAACTAAATTTGCAAATGAGCCCCCGAAATTCATCCTCCGATTGGGGGTATGGGGTAGCCTAGCCACGGCTCCACATTTACATAAAGGGTAGATTAGGGTAATATGAGAACCTTAAGCAAAAACTGGAATATTTTCAAAGATAATTATGCTGGATCCAAAATTTTTGTGAATAAATATTTTTTAGGGATTCCTACTCATGATCCACTTAGATATTTGAACACCGGAAATTTTCTCTTTATAATACAGAGGTTTTAACAAAGTAGCAAAAGTGATTATATTACCCAGACCACTTAGTAATACGAGCACTTTAAATTAGCTAAAAAAAATAACATTAATTAAGTAAAAAAATACCAACCTGACAATTAGAACTAATTTTTGGAATATAACAATTCGTTATTAACAAAACTTATCATTAAAAGATTAAATTTTAAGCCACTTTTTGTTGAAGCAATAATAGTATGTTTTCTGCAAGAAAAAAAAACAAAATTAGTTTGTTATTTTAACAATTTTATTAACTCAAACATATGAACGATAAAAATTCAAATTTTTTGAATTTAAATTACAGAAAAATATTTGGTATTGTTAACAAATTAACATTTTTTCTATGTTTTGTTTTTATTCAAAAAGCAATTAAAACCACTGCTATTTTAGGGACTTTAAAATTGTTAATTTAATTAAAAACACCGGGTAATTGAGCATGTTTATATCACACAAAAATAGCATCTTTAAATAAAGTCAAAACTAAATGTTTCTATGCATTGCTTTTTAAACAAAAATGGATTGGATTTTTAGCTAACATATTTTTTTTTAAGAAAAATAAATTTTATCATTTTAGCACCAAAATTTTGCACCACAGATTTATTTATGCATGATGATAGTATTTTAACAACGCAAAATGTTTAACAGCATTTTAATTTGATGATAGCCGCTAATGCCTGCATATAGATTTAAACTGTTGTCACCACAAAGTCGATTCAAAAAATAAAAAGTTTTTTTAACTTCACAGCTTACATCTAAGAACTCTTTAAATATGCTCATATTACCCTAATCTACCCTATATATGTTATTTATTTTGATATCAATAATATAATAGCTGTTTAAAAAATAATTTATTAAGTATTTAGATTAAGTATATTCATTTGAAATCATACAAATATATAACTTTTATATATTTGTAATTAAATAAGTAATTATTTACTTTGTTGAGTAAAATTTTTCAATTTTGCTTTTAAAAACGTCAAAACGGGATGACCGAATAAGTGCGAATTTCATAAACTTGAACTGACATAAGTGTGAATGCCGTAAGTGTGAATGGCGTAAGTGTGGCTGGCGTAAGTGTGAATTGGCATAACTGTGAACTTGCATAAGTTGTAAAAACTGGCACAAATGCGAATCAGCATAAGTGCAAACTGGCATCAGTGCGCCGAAAGAACTTGTAAACATTGGCTTTTGTGCTAATTGGCATAATTGCGAACTGGCATATGTGCGAAGCAATTGTAAAAACTGGCATAAGTGCGAATCGTCATAAATGCGAACTGGCATAAATGCGGCAAAAGAATTTGCAAACATTGATATAGGTGCAAATTGGCATAAGTGCAAACCAGTTGCAAAAACTGGCCTAAGTGCGAATTGGCATAAGTGCGAAATGCCAATTCGCACTTATGCCAATGTTTGCAACTTTATTCGGCGAATTTGCGCTTTTGAGATTTCTACTTATTCCAGTTTTTGCAACTGCTTTGCATTTATGCTAATTCACACTTATGCTAGTTCGCACTTATGCCAGTTTGCACTTACACCAATGTTTGCAAATTCTTTTGGCGCACTTATGTTAACTTGTATTTATGCTAGTTCGCACTTGAGCCAGTTTTTGCAACAGCTTCGCACTTATTCCAGTTTACACTTATAACAGTTCCACTTAGGGGTCGTCTATAAATTACGTTACGCTCTAAGGGTGTTGCTACTTGTTTTGTGACGACTCATACAAAATTTGCAACTAAAGTGTTGCGATTTTGTGAAGATGAGGAGGAGGGATGTCAAAAAACGGTCGAAAATTGCTTAATGCTAATGTTTTCAAATTATTTATGCCAGTTTTGGTTGAGTTTGAAGAAAAAAAACGCTATTATTACTCATTTTAAAATGGACATTTTGTTTTTTCTGTGTTTTGCTGTGATTATATTATCGCAAATATTGTGCTTGTCAACAAATATGGTTGTTGACTCATTTTTGTTCTGTATGTTTCCTTAACAAAATGGAGTTTTTAATAACATCATTACAGCGTTATGGAATCAGGAAATCAGTGACCTTGGTAATAATATATATTATATTATATTCGTAGTTATATCAAAAACCAAAAAAAAAGTTCTATGCATAAATTTTTATAAAGTTTTGATTCGCCTATTATAAACTGAAGAACTTTAATACTGCTTGTAAGTTTATTAATGATGAATAAATATAAAGCAAGTATCTTAGTTTATTAAAAGCATTGTTTGTTTTTAGTTCAAAGCAACAATAATTCAAGATTACTCAATACTAAGAACCATACACTTTCAAAAGAGCCTGTACAACTGGTTGGTGTTTAACACTGAATATGAAATCCTGAAACCGTTATTTTCAAGTCCATTGAAGTCATCACAAGAATGTCTTTATTTTGCATTGGAGTTACTTGATGTAAAAATGCTATGCCATATTTTACTTCTAGTCTTAAGCATGAATAGTCTAGAAGCCTTTTTCAAAAGTATATATTTATTTTAATATTGAATAAATTAAATTTGTTTACCATTAATTATATATGCATAAATTAGTTATTTATGCATAGAATAATTTTATTTGCATAAATTATTTATGCATAGGTTAATTCTATATGCCTAAATTAGTACATTCATACATTCTTAAACTAATTAAATATGTATGGGATTACCAGATAATACAAATAAACTATTTTTTTTTTAAATACTTAGTAGTATGTTAGTATTTAAGTATATTTTACATAGCTCATACTTATGAACAAAAAACCTTTATAGTGTGTGTATAAATAAATAGCTATAAATATTCATATATATTCACATATATTCAAATATAGCTATAAATGTTCATATTCTTAAAAAATATGTTGTGCCATTGTTATTGTTGCCACTAATTTCACATTAAATCTATTTCATTGCTTGATTGACTAAAAAGTTACTTATTTCAAAACTCATTTATTGAATTTATTTGCAAAAAAAAAAAAAAAAAAATTAGAAATTTTAAGTAACTTAGTAAAACTATATTAAGACAAATGTCAAGTACCACCTGCATCGAAATAATAACTATGAGTAGACTTGGTTTATTTGTTATTAGGTTTTCTTTGCATCTGATTTTCTTTGTAATTAGGTTTTTTTTGTAATTAGGTTTTCTTTGTAATTAGGTCTTCTTTGTAATTAGGTTTTATTTATAATCAAGTTTTCTTTGTATCACATTTTCTTTGGTATCAGGTTTTCTTTGTAATTAGGTTTTATTTATAATCAGGTTTTCTTTATATCAGATTTTCTTTGTAATCCGGTTTCCTTTGTAATTAGGTTTTATTTGTACAAGAGTGTCTTTGTATTCAGGTTTTCTCTGTAATTAGGTTTTCTTTGTAATCAGGTTTTCTTTGTAATCAGGTTTCCTTTGTAATCGAGTTTTCTTTTCAATCAGGTTCTCTTTGTAATCATGTTTTCTTTGTATAAAATTTTCTTTGTAATCAGGTTTTCTTAGTTATCAGGTTTTATTTGTAATCAGATTTTTTTAATAGTTTTTTTAGTCAATTCATTGATTTTATTAAAAGCTACTTAATTAAAAAAAAAAAAAAATTGTTAAAGCTTTCTTTGCAGCACATATAAATATTTTTAATAATAGATTTTTGGATGTTTACATTTATATCAGGTTGAAATATATTTTATTTCTTTTTAAAATTGTGGATTACTGTGTAGTTGTATCTGTACTACACCTCTTTGCCCCAACTCTGTAATCTCCAAGATCTATAAAATGATGAAAGCTACAAGTACCAGGTGGAGTTATTGCACCAGTACAACTTTCTTTTTGCTCTTCAGGTTGCAATCATAATTCCAGCCCTTTTTTGTAAATGAAGTTAGCAACCTTGCTTTTCTCAGTACAAAGTTCATACATAGCTTATGATGCGTGAATTTGGTTTCTATATGGTCATTTTAAACTTTTTTGTGCTGTTAAACTTTTTGCAGTACTGGCGATCCCATTGCATGATGACTTTCCATGGGGCGTAGCAAAAAAGTTCTATTTATTTTTGCAGTGTAAGTTAAAGGTTATCCTTTCATTACAATCAGTCAGGTCACCTTTTTACAGAAGGTAGTTTAAATTTAATATTTATCAAAATAAGATATCAGTTTAAAAAATAATTAAAATACATTATTAAATTTTGTCTGAGATTGTATCTATCAATCAATTATGGTCAGGTCAGGTCATACTACTGGTAACATGTAATCCAGTACAACCTGTTTACAAGATCAACTTAATATAGCTTTATAATAAGGACTCCTGAACCATGGTTAAGCAACTTACCTAGGAAAAGGAAAACTGGTATAAACCCCCTAATTTATTTCTGGGTAAGGTTAGAAGGAGCTCATTAACTATAGGTTGTGATCTTCCTAAATACAAAAATCCCTGATCTCCAAAACAGTTTAACAGCATGATATGCATTCAATTTTTGTTTCTTAAAGTAAAATATTTTTCATAGTGATTGTTGTCATGGGATTTTAAGATCTTTTTATTGTTGACAAGTTTATTAAAAAATTGAGAATAAGAACATTCTTGAATATTGACAAGTACATTTAAAATTTTATTAATATTTTTAAATTTAATTTAAGAACTTTAATGATAAAGTGTTAGTGAAGATCTATGATATATGGATATGAGATCTAGGATATATGGACAAGGTTACAAGCATAATTGTTGAGATACAGTTAAGTGCATACAAAATATACACCATTTATTGTTAAATAAATGTTATTTTTTGTATATTCACCTGTGTGATTTTTATATTGCAACACCCCTGTTCTCAGGAAAATTGCCAATTAAAACATTTTAAACATTTCTTTTTTTCTTTTTATTTTTTTATTTTTAGTATTGTTAGAAATGCTTTCAGCTATCTATTAAGCCATGTTTTAAAATCTCAATTTGAAATGAATGTTTGGTAAAAAGTGAAATAAATTAGTAATAAAAAACACGTTGAAAAACCCTAACAAAAACATGTCAATTGCAATAAGTGACAATAATCAGTAGCAAAAGTAAATGATTTATGTGATTATGAATTTAATTCTTTATGGTTTAAAAGAAGTTGTGTTGAAATGTATTAAGTTTGTTATTTAGAGTAAACTATGAATTGATAATATAAAAATGTCAAAAAAAATTGCAGTTTCAATAGTGAGTGGCTAAAAGATTTTAGATTTACAGGTTGTATATCTGAAGATAAAGCTGCATTGAGTACAAGATAGACTTTACATGTGTAGTTTCAGTTCAAGTAACATGGGAAATGGAGCAGTAATAAGTCATAGATTGTGTAAGAAACATCTGAAAAAGACAGAAGAAACTAAAAGCAATGATATCTTTTTTGTAAAACAAGCACCTTCAATAGAAAAATCTTGCTCAGTTAAAGGACCTTCTATGAATTCAAAATCTATCGAATAGTGTTTATGTTCCTGCTTGCACTCTTAATGCAAATGTACTGTGGACTTTAAAGGTTGCTGTGCAGTGACGGATGTTTATACTTATGTCCAATAATGATGTTTTGCAAAAAATTGCGATGATTGGAGGCTGGGAACAAAACCCTAAAATTTCATCCCCCACCCCAAATGTGAGTGCAATAAGTTGATGAAATATTTTTTGCACTATTCTCAACTAGACTTATATTCATCAATAAATATAAAGTTTCATAGTATAATCTTTCAGCTTTCAAAAATTATGACCATATAAAGTTTAAACCCTCCCCTCCTCTATTAGAGGGGGTTACAAATTACAAAATCTCAAATACCTAAAAATACTGGATTCATCACTGTTATTGTGTCCCACTATTCTGTTAGAATGTTAGTTATTAAGCTAGAATTCTGCTAGAATGTTAGTTATTAAGAAGATCTAGAACTTTTTAGTTGGTACTTGGTCCATACATAAAGAACTTAAGCAAATTTTTTTAAACTCATATACTGGTTTAAGTGAGTTGTTTAATGTTATGTTTACAGATAACAAAATTGTTTTTCATTGAGTAGAATGAAATGTGGCTATTTAGTAAATTTTGAAATGTATCCTTTTTAAAAAAATTCTTTAATTAAGGAAGTATCACCATTTTTTGTTGTCTCCAATGACGAGTCTATGAATTGTGTTCTTCATTAATTGTGTACTTGAGGAATAAATAATTCTATTTTTTAAAATTTTTATTTTCCACTATTGGAGTCCTCAAGTGTCGTTAAAACTCTTTATTTGGATTCAAAAGTTTTAAATCAATCAAATGGGGAAAATTTACCACAGAATTAAATGAAGCATTAAAGAAATTGCTGACAAAAAGCTTTCTTTAGTTTTCCATGGATGGACCAAGTACTAACTAGAAAGTTCTAGATCTTCTTAACAACCAACATTCTAGCTCTGAGTTATCATCACTACTTGATATTGGAAGTAGTGACTTGCATGGTACATTTGCTTCTGATGTTGAATTGATACCTGGGAACTTCAAAAAGATCCTAAAGGCAATGTGGCAAATCTTTCATGATTCACCTGCTAGAAGGGACGTCTATGTAAAAACTGTCATCATTTATTTATTTATTACTTTCTATTAGATTCTGTCCAACAGGCTGGATTGTGGACGAAGCAGTTGCTGATAGAGCCATTAGTATTTGAGGATATTTTGTTAAGGTCTTTTATTCTGAGAAAGTCAAAAATGTAAATTGTATTATATACTAATAAGTCATTATAATTGTACAGCCTTTTAATAGCCAAGTTGAAATTCTTCAGGGTTATTGCATGGTGTTTGAAAGAATATTTTGTGGCATTCCAAACTGATTCTACAATGGTTCTTTTTCTCAATGATATCATGGAAAGAATGCTTCAAAAGATTTTTTTCATCTTTATAAAAGAAGATATATTGAATGGTGCAACGAATAGATATCAATTTATCAAGCTTGATGTGTCAAAAAATAAAATCAACTGCCATTCAAATACACCTTGGAACAGCAGTCAAATTTATTTTATACTCTAAAGATGTGACAGAAACTGTAAAATACAAGTTTAAAGAAGATTACATTACTATGCTGGTTAAAATTGTTGAGAAACTGCAAGAAAGTAGTCCTTTGAATAATATGTTAATGTGGAATGAAGCATGTCTATACTTAAATATAGTTAATAATGGGTAATAACAAAGAAATTGGATTTGCTTGTTTTGGTCAGCTAGTTAATAAATTGTATAGATCAAATTTGATATCCGCCCAAACAGCTGATTCTGCCAAAGATCAGTTTGAAGACAAAATCTGTTGTAGCAATAAATAAGGAAGAGTTTAGACAATTTAATTGCCTAAAAATGTGCCTTGATAAGTTTTTAAAGGCTTATTTGAAATGGAAACAATTTCAAATTAATAAGGATAGTCTGTATCCTAGTTTTTTACTTAATCTCATGTGCTGTTGAGCGAGGTTTTAGTGTCAAAAAAGAGCTTTTTATTAAGAACATGCAATTAACCTATTTGATTAGTCTTAGCGCATTGTTTATGACCATGTAACTGATTTCACAATCAATAAATTAACAAAAAGTTGCAAGTTGTTCATTCTGGATATGTACAATATTTAGACGGAAATAAAAGGGAAAATATTATTACTAAGAAAGCAGAAGAAAAAAAAATATTGCTGAAGAAATTATTGATTTAAGAAAGAGAAAAAGAAAGATATTCAATCGTGTATTGAATATCTTTCTTTTTCTTATTTTTATGCACTACATCATTACATCTACGCATGTAATGATGTAGTGCAAACAGCATCATTTATAAAATATATTTTTGTGTAAGAGTCTACTGTTTTTATGTATTTAATACTATATAGATGCTATATTTGTTTTTCAATCCTAATTTCACTAAAGTTTTCAGTCTTCTTTTTCATGCTATTTGTTTGATAACACAATTTTGAGGAAACATTGACTTGACTTTTTAATTTTTTAAGTAACATAATTTACCATTTCATTATTACGCTTAACTTTTCACTTTGCTTTTGAGAGTATATATTTTGATGATTTTGAATAAGATTTTAGAGAAGATATAATAAAATTTTTGAGTTTTTCATTGATCTCCTTTCTTTTTTCTTTAAATTGTTATTAGAAAATCCTCATCTTGTTCGCCTTGACTTTACTTCTCTACTTTATGATCTGTTTTTCTGGCAATCTTTTGTTTACAAGATTTGCAATGTTTTTTTCCAGGACCATTATTCAAACTAGTTCTCATCATGACTTGTGAATCTTTTATCGTAACTACGCCAAAATTTTCTAAAAGTAATTGAATTGTATAAAGCTTATCTGCACAATTCTTTAATACTTTGTTTTATGTTTTGGAATATAGAAATTAAAAAAGTATATATAATAAAATATTTAAATTTTACATATACTTACTTGTGATTTTCTTTGTATTTTTATTGAATGGATTACAATAATCTTTCTGCGATATAGGATACATTCTAAATTATTTTGTGGTACGTCTTTCATTCAACATTGTTAAGTTTAATAGTTCAATGTTACAATTTAATGTTATAATTATTTTTTCTTCATTGCTTAAAGTTTCAATAAAATTTTGTTTGTATATATATAAACAAAATTTTTTTAATTAATAGACTACCTGCCCAACCCAAACCCTCAGTTGATGTAGCAGCACAGTCTGTATTACAGGAATATACTTGTTTTATAATACTTATAATGCCCTTATAATAACAATTATAATAAAAGCAATAATACCAATACTGATATAGCTATACTACTGATGATAATAAAATAATAACGCTAAAAATATTGATAAGTTTTTTTAAGTTTTTTGTTTGCTTGTGGGGAGGGGGGGGGGGGGAGAATTGGTAACATCTTCTGAAAGGTTATGAAAACATGCTTTGCGCTTTTACGTTATTTGAATAATTGAAATCAAAATTAAATTCAGCAGAAATTAGAAGAATACATAAACAAAGAAAAAATGTAAAAAGTGTTTCTAATGCATGTATTACTGGGGCTAATTTTTTAATAAAGCTAATAGTTTTAAATCAACCGGGACAAATTACCCTTTGACAGGCATACTGGGACACGGATCTTAAAACCGAGACATATGGCAGCCCTAATATATATAAATATATATACATATATATATATATATATATATATATATATATATATATATATATATATATATATATATATATATATATATATATATATATATATATTTTTAACATCTTCGCTTTCAACAAGGCTGCAAGACAACCACTAGTTAGTGTTGGAAGTTACTGGAAGAGAAAAGATTGACGATTGACAGACGACTTAAAAGATTGCAAATTATATGAATCAGGAAAGCAAGATGAAGGAAGCGAATTCCAAAGAACTGATGTTCAAGGAAAAAAACTAGACAAATAAGAGTTTTTGGAGCACTTAGGAACAGTAACAGAAAAAGGATAAGACTTAATTGAATGACGAGTAACACGAGAATGAATTTTAGTAGATGGCACAAGAGACGCAAGCTCTTTAGAGCAGTGTCCATTATAGTATTTGTAGAAAAGAGAAAGAGAAGCAACATTACAACGATGTGACAGAGGTTGAAGGTTGGCTGCAAGAGCAGGTCCAACTATGTTTACAATGCGTTTTTGCACCTTGTCTAAAAGAGAAAGGGCATCATTAGAAGATCCGCTCCAGATATGGCAACAGTATTCCATACAAGGCCGGATTTGAGATTTATAGAGATAGAGAATAGAATCCAGAGTAAGAAAGCGACGAGCTCGATAAAGAGAAGCAACTTTAGCAGATGCTAATTTTGCAACAGATTTGATAAAAGGTTTCCAAGAAAGATCAGAAGTAAGAGTTAATCCTAGAAGATGAAGGGTAGGAGACTCATCGAGTACATTACCGTTCATAAATATAGGAAGGTCTAAACTATTGCGATAATAATTGGCCGAAAAAAGTTGAGTTTTATCTGAATTAAAGTTCACCAGCCACTGTGAGCCCTATGCTGTAGTAGAAGTGAGATCTTTTTCAAGCTCAGATGCCCCCTGCAAGCAATCAGAGGGAGTTGGCTTCTTATCGTGACAAGAATGAATGGTAGTATCATCAGCGAACAATGCCACCTTAGATGTGAGAATATCTGAAAGATCGTTAATGTAAATTAAAAAGAGTATAGGGGATTGAACCAAGGGTTGAACCTCGAGGAACCCCTGAGGTTACAGAATAAAAAGAAGAGTGCTGTCCATCAAGGACAACTTTTATACTACAATTGGAAAGGAAGGATTTAATAATCTTAAAGATGTTTCCAGATACACCGTAAGAAGAAAGCTTATGGAGAAGACCAGCATGCCAAACTTTATCAAACGCTTTAGAAATGTCAAGAGCGATGGCCTTAACCTCTCCACCTTTATCTAATGCGCAATAAAACCTATCGGTTATTACTGTTAGCAAATCAGCCGTAGAACAAGACGATTGAAATCCATATTGATGATCAGAAAGTAGGTTATGAGATTCGAGATGAGAGATTAAGTGTTTATTAATTAAAGATTCAAAAACCTTGCTTATGATAGGAAGAAGACTAATAGAACTGTAGTTAGACGAATCGGATCGCTCTCCAGAATTTTTAAAAATAGGGATAAGAGATGCTACTTTCCAGCAGGCTAGAAAACAAGACTCTGATAAGCACTTGTTGAATAGTTTTGAAAGGATAGACAACAGCTCCGGAGAACACTTCTGCAAGACTATAACAGGTATATTGTCTGGGCCTCTAGCTGTAAAAGAGTCTAAGCAGGAAATCACTTTAGATACAGATGCTGGAGTGATACGAATGTCGAGCAATGGATCAACCTGTTTGACGGCTATATCAGGTAGAACGCAACTTGTGGAATAAAGAGATAATATTGATGAAAAGTTCTTGGCAAACAATTCAGCTTTGTCTTAAGGAGAGGTGACAAATTCTGAACCATACAAAAGAGGTGGAATTACAAACTTGCCCTTATTATTGATACTATTAAAGATTCTCCAGAAGTCGCGAGTGCCTAATTTTTGTGATGAAATACGAGATTTCATGTTCTGAGAATAGCGGGCTTTGCGTTAGACAAAACCTTTTTACAATGGTTCCCAGCAGTAATAAACAGACGTTTGTTTTCTAGAGAATTGTTTTGCTGATAGATATGGAAGTAATGGTTTCGATTGGCAATTGCAGCAGCACAATGTGAGGAAAACCATGGAGAAGAGTGAGGCTTGACCTGGAATTGTCGAGAGGGAATAAAGGATTCCATGCCAGCCTGAATCCACGAAGTTATGTAAGAAGCACATTTGTCAGCAGAAAGACGAAAGATTTCTACCCAGGGGCCATCACGAAGAAAATCACGGAAAGAGTTCAAGTCAGCTTTAAGGTAGTTGTAAGATGTACAATGATAGGGAGATTCTGATGGTAAAAAAAAATGAGATAATAGTTTTAGAGAGACCAAACCATGATCAGAAGCACCTACGGGTGAGAGTGGAGAAACTGAGCACTGGCTAGGATTAGAAACAAGACATAAGTCGAGTAGAGAAGGTAAATGATTCGGGTTGTCTGGAAAGCGAGTTGGAAAGTTGACTATTTGAGTTAGGAATTGAGAAAGGCACAAGTTGTGGGCCTTTATGCCTGCAGAGCTTTAATACCTGCATATGGGCTTTATGCAGTGCCTTATGGGCCTTATGCAGAGCCTTATGGGCCTTATGCAGAGCCTTATGGGCCTTATGTAGAGCCTTATGGGCCTTATGTAGAGCCTTATGGGCCTTATGCAGAGCTTTATGGGCCTTATGGGCCTTATAGGCCTTATGCAAAGCCTTAATGGGCCTGCATGTGGGCCTTAATGCCTGCATATATATATATATATATATATATATATATATATATATATATATATATATATATATACACACACACACACATATATATATATATTTATATATATATATATATATATATATATATATATATATATATATATATATATATATATATATATATATATATATATATATATATATATATACACACACACACAGTCTGTATTAGGGTGGTCCCTAAAAGGACAAAAATTAGTTAGGGTATCTATATATAATCTAAATATATCAATAATATATAATCTATATATTAGTTAATTAGGGTAATCTATATATATTCTATATACATCAAGCTGTTAATTTGTTAAAATTCAAATAAATTTTGAATTTTAACAAATTTAAAATAACTGAACTTTTTATAAACTAATTTTTATAAACTTTTACAAGTTGTAGTTGTCAAAATTAAAAAAAAAAGTTGCACATTATTATCACACTTAGTCAGTTTTTATGTTAAAACAAAACAGGATGTTTTTTGCAGTAGTTAAGATCATATAATTAAGATCACATAATTAAGACTTTCTAAAATATAACAAAACTGTTTTTTTTTTCTAAGGAGTCTATAAACCAAGTTTAATATTTTACTAAATTCTATTTGTAAGTTTTTTTTAATTAACTTAAATAAAATTTGAATCTTGAATATCTTTGAAATTAAAGTTCTTTATGTTTTAGTTGTTTTATAAGACTTTTTGTGCCTAGTAAGCTTATAAGCTGCAGGTGTTATGAGATATTGGGCCCCAAAATTAGTTTACATAAACTAGTTCTTTTGTTAACTTATAAGGAATTTCCTGAATTATTTTAGCAATTTTGGTACATTTATTAAGTTCAGCATTAAAAAAAGCATTATAAATAATTATTTTCATATTTTCCCCCCTGTTAATTCTTATTTTATTAAGGAAAATGTTTTTTCAAAATATTATAAAAACCAGGTCAATATTAAAATTGTCATATCTTGACATGTGCTCAACAATTTAAACAGGTAATCTGTGTTAACCTTTCTTTGTATTTTCATATGCAACAGCCAAAGAATTTTTTAAAAAATTTGAGAACCCATGATTCAAAATTTCCGAAATATTGGGTGATTTGATGTGGAATTACCCAGATATATTACAGCAGGGGTCTTTTTAGTGCACTTTTTAGTGTGAGAGTCACATAATAATATCCACTTTAAGCAAATTGACATGTTTTTATTCTGTTTTTTTAAATCTCACTGTATATTTTCTCTTATTTGAAGTTTTTTGTTCTGTTTTTTTAAATCTCAATGTATATTTTCTCTTATTTGAAGTTATGTATTGTATACTTTTTTAACAACAACATACTAGTTATGAAATGATTTACCTTTTAGATACTATCTGGTAGACCTAAATATGTGTGTATATACCATAGGGTATATACTATATATGGATATATAGGATATATACACGGATATATATGTGTGTACACACATACACTTATATATATATATATATATATATATATATATATATATATATATATATATATATATATATATATATATATATATATATATATATATATATATATATATATACATATATATATATATATATATATATATATATATATATATATATATATATATATATATGCATGAATATATATATATACCAATATGCATGTATATATATACCAATGTATTTATTTAGGTTGGTTAAAAAGTTTTTAAAGCAAAAGTAAAAGAATATGTGTTTTTAAGTAAATTCAAAGACGCTATTTTAATTTCATTAATAATACACATTCTGAGTATACAAGTTTCTGAAAAGGTCTTTTTTCATGATTTTTTTTATTCAACTGGTCCAAAAAGATTACTACTTTATTTAGAG